AAGGATGAATTGCAAAGTGGCGTCATTTTTCCTCATTTTTTCAGGTATCGTCGGAGAGCTGCAATTGTTGTATATAGGTCAAAAAATGAAAGTTGTCAAATTGACTTGAAATACACTTCATTCGACTCAGTTTTTTGTGCTGATACCAAATCCTTATTTAGTTTATGGCTAAAAGCCTTATTTGAATTCGAAAAGCCTTGAATATCGCCCAAAAATGACTATGATTCCAGTAAAAACGATTTTTCTCAACACAGGAAAGAAAAGAAAAAAAAGGATACGTAACTCTCTGACGAGGAAAGACCCGGTTTTTGGAAAACCAGTTTTCTAGGTCAAAAACTTTTTTTTTTCAAAAAATTTTCTGATCTGTCCCGATTGTAGAGCATATCAAGAAACCTATGAAAAACATATTTTTTAAATTTTTGTAAGGGCTTTGAAATGTTTTCCGAGGGCAAAACTTCGCTTACGGGAAAACATTGCATTTGTTAAGTTCTTCACCCTCTTGACTGAAAGTCACTTTTCTTCCCGCTTCTCGCACTCCTTCTGTTTGCTCCGTCTCCCTCTTACCCCCTTTTCTGCATTTAGAAACTTGAATGAAAAACCGACAACTGACTTGCATACAAAACAACAAAAAGAGAAGCGAGAGAGAGAGAGGTGTGCAGAGTATTGTGAAGCGGGATTGCATAGCTGTGTGTGGCAGTGATGCCAGATCCCACCCCGTGTTAAGAATGAATGTGGTGAGAGAAGGAAAGATGGAAGGTCCCCTCCTAACAATCATGATAACTCCAGTTAAAAGACGTAAAGAACGTAAAGCAGAAACACCTTTGAATAAGAACCTAGTCCCTCCAGAGTTTAAGACAAAAGTTCTGCGAAAGTAAAACTGATAGCTTTTGATTATTCCTTTCTAGTACCTACTGGTTATACTCGGAATCTCTGTGGTCGTTTACCCAATTATCATTTATTTTTTATTGAAAGGTAACAAAAGACAAGAAAAGTAATTTTGCCTTTACAGAATCTCAGTTTTGCCCTTGAAAAACATTTCAAAGCCCTTACAAAAATTTAAAACATATATTTTTCATAGGTTTCTTGATATGCTCTACAATCTGGACAGATCAGAAAATTTTTTGAAAAAAAAAAGTTTTTGACCTAGAAAACTGGTTTTCCAAAAACCGGGTCTCCGGAGGCCTAGTAGCCCAAATGTTTGTCATAGTCGGATTCAGCATATTTGATTACCTATTGTCCACTAGCTTAGAGCTCAAAAGCGAGTTGACAGTTGGGGACCTTTCCTCGTGAGTTGAGACGCCGTCGTAATTGAATGGAAATCGAAACGTCCCAAAACTTTCAATGTTCCAAGAAACGAAAAACCGCGTTTTCTTTATACGCGTTGTTTATATATTTTCCTTACTAATAGAGCTGGAGATATAAAAATCTACAGTAATAATCATCTAGTTATAAGAGATTAAATGTGAAATGTCTGAGCTTTTTTGGATTGACATTAAGAAAGAAAAGCATTTTTTTTCCAGAGGGCGCGAAACTTATTGATCACCCTTTGATTACGGCGTTTAGATTTTTTTGAGGGAAGTGACATTAGACATTTCGTATGTGAATCAAATAGAAAAAACATTTCTCTTCAAAATGGCACAAGAATGAACCTGATTCATTCATTTTACAAACAGCTCCAAAACGCAGATCGAAAAAAGATTCCCAGGGCTTTTACAAAAAGCATTACTGGAAACACGGAAATAACGACAGAAAATTAGCATTATAGCCATTCGATAGAGAATTCCAACGGCTACATTATTGCCTATTCGATGTGGGCACAACGCATACATTCAAGCTTATACTGACAAAATACATTCCTCGTTTTGGGGGCATTGAAAGTTCTGGGACCTCTGGAAAAAAAATGCTTTTCTTTCTTAATGTCAATCCAAAAAAGCTCAGACATTTCACATTTAATCTCTTATAACTAGATGATTATTACTATAGATTTTTATATCTCTAGCTCTATTAGTAAGGAAGATATATAAACAACGCATGTAAAGAAAACCCGGTATTTCGTTTCTTGAAACATTGAAAGTTTTGGGACATTTCGATTTCCATTCAATTACGACGGCGTCTCAATTCTCAGGATCATCTCCTATATACCATTTTGTAGAGAATTAAATGAAAAAACTTTTGCAAAAAACAGCTGAATCTTATTATATGTATTTCATATAGATAATGTTAATTTACAGAGAGGGTCCAAAACGTATGGATTATCCTTTATGTGACCAATAATAATAAAGATATGACCTGGCTTTTTCTTTCCTACTATGTCAGTACTTTAAACTGGACTGGAACTCCATTTGACTATAGGATTCGGTCAGGCTCTGCCCGTCGGTCAGACTCTAGTACTGATTATGTTTTCTCCAACCGAGCAACTCTCTACTTGACAACATGTATGCAGTATTGGAAAAATAATTTAGTTATAGAAGATCGTATGTATAGCACTAATGCAAAATTGAACGGGTGGAACGGAAAGTTAAAGCGCCAGGAACAAGTTTTGAAAAAATGAAAGGAAAAATGATAAAGCTTTACAAATTTTCAGAATATTCATGTCAGATCCCTATTTGGGACAACCGAAAAACACATTTTCTGTTTCTGTTTTCTCAGGAACTCGGTTTTTTATGGTGTATATTGAAATAAATCCAAATGATATCAACGAAATTATTCAATCAGCACTCGACCCACAAGCCGGTTTGTAGCATGACCAAGTGTAGTGCTGAATTTAGTATCCTTCTGTGTTTATCAGAGATCCCAGATCTTCTGATTTTTTTATTTTTTTTATTTTATGTGGGTTTGAACTGAAATTTGGCTCATAGAATATGTATTGTCATATCATATCAAAATTCTGGTTTTCTGTAGTTTTTTTTCTACTTATAGAATAACTTAAGAGAAAGAAACATCTCCCAGGATGGGAAGAATTGCTGTGTTTTAGAGTTGTCTAACATTTATTGTTTGAAAAGGTATAATTAATTATCTGAGCTCCGAAAAATTCGTATTCTGATTTTCAAGTTTTTTTTCTGGTTTTGAACTCATTTTTTCTGATTTTCATCTTTGGATCTGGGATCCCCGGTGGCTCCATCTATGGAAAAAAAGAAATTATCTTTTTCCTGTGTGAAAACATCGAAGAATTTTTTTCAAACCACCATACGTTTTATGCATCGCTAAAAAGTTCTTAGACTTACGACGGTTTGCGATCTGTTTGCTTTTTTCTTAAAACAGCGTTTTTTGACGTTGAAACAATGTTTTTTGATACTCGCATTCTGGTGTCTGTTGCTTGCTTCTAAGTCTGTCTTAAGTGGACCTTTGGAAACAAAGTGAGGATGCGGGAAAATCATTCTACATAGGTAATCCAATTTGCCGGTCATGACAGAAGCAATATTTTTGAAAATCCGGATGAGTCTTTTGATAATCACTTTAAAGAATAAGTTTAAGAACGACCTCGCGACAATCAACAAGATTCGTATTTAGCATCAACACGCACTCTGGAAAAAATATATTTTTCATTCACATACAGAAAACTGATTCAACAATGTGAAGTACAAAGATTAGTCGTTATTAGTTTTATGGAACATTTATGGACAATGGTCGTGGTCAATAATAAAAGATGGAAATTATTATATATATATACACGGAAGAATACTAAATTTAGCAGTACGTTTGGAAATGTGAGTATGAGAAAGATGTGTGATAGAGAAAACGCAAATGTTTGTAAATCAGCTAACAGATCATATTACAAAACTGCTTGTGGCTCGGGTGCTGATTGAATAATTTCGTTGATATCGTTTGGATTTATTTCAACAAGAATTTCAATATTCTCTTCATCCTTTAATATGGCCAAATAAGTATCTCCTTCCTTGGGTTCTTTGACTTCATCATCTTCGGCTGCTTGCCTCGCCTGGTCTTCGTTTTCATTTTCGGTTTTCATCTTCAAACCTTTTCCACTTTGCTGATACTGATATTTGACAATAGTGTTTGAAATGTTACCTCGCAGCCGCTTTATGTTTTCAAACGTTACTGTATAATGATTTATTGGGGGCATACTACGCATCGCTATGCCACCTTTAACATCTTTGAGAACGCCAATAAATGCCAGTTGAGCTTTTGATAAATGTTGAATAGCATGTTCTTTGCCTTCAGATACCATTTTTATTCTACAGAAAATCTGAAAAAATGAACTACAGACATTATCGAGCGCTTTTTTGACTCACGAAGAACTGTCACTACTTACTTCGAATTCTTTATTTAACAACGTAAAAGAAAAATATGTAATGATCTTTTTTTTGTATGGCAGTTATGTATACTACGCAAAAAAGAAAAGTTTGTTTCTTTTCATTCTTAAGTAACCGTTGTCCCGTACAACAAAGAAAAAGGTAAAATATACCTTGTGCTCGACACAAGAATTTTTTTAATGCACATGAGGCATTTGTAAAATGTTACCTTCCCGTTTGAACATGAAATATGGCATTGCTAAATCTCCTACAGTCTACGATCAAATGATTTTTTGCAGGAATATTCGCTATATATTCCCTAATTAATTTGCTGGTGAAATCGTCCATTCAGCTGTTACATTTGAGATACATATGAGAATCTGACCATTGTTTTGCAAAGAAACGAAATATAGAGACCCTGGATGTTCAGGATCAGTGTGCTCGATTACATTAGAGTGTAGTCAAGGCAATTAAATCTGTCTCTTTATTTGTCACAAAGTTTAAGTTATCATTAGCAGTTTTGGGGATTAGACAGCGTCTTTCTACTCAGATACTGTAGTAAGTATAGGCCTTTCCCTGCTTCGCATGCTGAGTTAAACACGTTGATGATGCGACGAGTAACATGCACAAAAGTGGGAAAATGCATCTAAACGGTGATGCCATTAGAAATGCGAGGCTTCTCGGTGTTAGGTCGCTTCGCCGTTAGTGGTTTTCCAGATGTAGAAATGATCGGTTCCTTCTTGTTTGATACACAGACGATTGAGTGCCAAACTATACCGTTAGATTGGTAGCAAAACTGGCGTTTTGTAAAATGATGGATCAATATTGAAACGTCTTAAGAGTTGAAAAAAATGCATTGAAACAATTTATAATTTCGCATAAATTAATTGTCTAATAGTATTTGAAATAGTAGAATCATAGTTAAAACATTTAATTATTAGAGGAGCTTTTACCTCATCTAGTGTTGGAGATAAAAGTCATGATTATCGACAAATAATCAATTCGTTTCAAGATATTTCTTGAAGGTTTTTTCGAATCATCTTTGATTAAGGTCCTCCATCCCCCGCCTACCTCTGGTCAGAAATCTACCACAAGTCTGATCAGAGCGAAAATTTTTGGGGAATGTTGGGCATCATGCGCAACATTCCGAACAAACGAAACGAGATCTGCTATGAATAGGATATAGAATAGCTTAAATACTCTACATTCTGAAGTTTTGAACTCGTTCTGATGTTTTGTGAGTAAATAGTGAATTTTTTAATATTAGGTGAAAAGACCCTGAAAACCCTAATTTTCGTAAAACTGGGCTTCGGTAGATTTTTAGAACTATTTCTAAAAATAAATAATTCCACAAAACTCAGCTCTGTCGATTACCCGTAGTCCATCAGTCTTTCAGGTGACTTATAGGACACCCAGTAGATTTTCACTCGGTTGTTGCATTTTGTTCTGAAAACTAACATTCCCACGAGATTCAGCATAGTCGATAACCTATGTTTTCATTCATTTTTGACAGTTCCAAACCTAACGGAAGAGGAGTGCTAAGGCTTCAGGTAAAACGTCCATAGCTCCCGAACCATGGATTTTCAAGATGTCGCTTAGATCAAGTTTTGTAGAAGACACTTCAGCCTATATATCTATGAAGAAAACTCATAGGTTTATATGTCAGTTTTCAGAGAACCGAACTGGTTTTCCAAAGATCCTCTGGAAAACCGGCTTCGAAAATTTTTCCGAAATCCATTTTTGCTTATGGGAAGATAGCTTCAAGTCTTGGCCATCGAATGGTGAAAAACGCAAGTCTTGGTCTTGTGTTCCCTTCGAGTTATTCAAAAAATAATGACCGACCTTGCTTTTTTAGAATGGATATTAGCTATGTTAAAGAAAAAGCTGAATTTTAAGAGAACAAAGAGACTGGCAGTCGGGAAACTTTTTTTCTTAATCACCAATGTTACCATTATATAACCTAATAATGGAAAAAAGATCTCAGTCAAGTTTATTTTTTTCGAAATTTTCACTCATACCGTCCATGCAAATCAAACATATCTGCGTGTTACTTGAATGAGAAAAAAACGTTTATCATATAAGAAAAATTTTCGTTTGGTATTCAAGGAAATATATAACAAGTATCGACCTAAATGTGATACGTTCGACAAAACAGGTGAGAAGAGAAAAAATACAGTTTTGTTTTCCAGTGAAGATCCGCGTATATATAAAAGATACGAAAAATGGAATAAGCATGGAATGGAAGCAATGGAAGCAATGGAATGATAACTTTAGAGTAAGTAAACAGCATTGAAAGAAAGAGTAACGGTAAAACATATGTAATTTTACGTGCTCTGTCTAATGAGACTAAAATCAGAATTTACAATTTGGTAATAAAGCCAAAAAGCGAGTTTTTGTCTTAATTAAGTTTTTCTTGAAATGCGTATATTTCTGACAATACGCGTTTCCGAAATGTAAAACATTCAAGTTCGAATAGAGCTTAACATTTTATGTATACTGGTAGATTATCAGTATGTGATTGAGGGACACCTTTTCTCACTCAAATCACAAAATGTAAAAATCGACTAAATGCAATTACATCGATGACACAATACAAAAATAGGAACGTGTTTCATCATATGGGAAGAGAGAAAAGAGAGAAGAAAAAAGCGTTTCACAGTGAACACGAACTTATATATGCAGAACGGAAAAAGTAAACAACTTAAGTTTTAAACGTTCAGAAGCATTTTTATGCCAAACCAATGTGATATTCGGAATCTACGAAAAAAACTGCATCGAATGATATATAATTCGATGCGTTTTGAAAAAAAAAAGTTTTCGTCCTAAATTTTAGGCAAAACATCTGAGGGGGACCTTAGGCAAAAATTTCGACGGGAACTTTTTGTCTGCCTTCAAGACGAAACTTAGGTGTATATCACCGGAAAAAAAAATAAAGTTGGTTTAGAGTTGCTGAAAAGTGGTTTTTCGTATTCAGCACACTCGATAACCCAGAAGATTTTCTGTTTTTGGCCCGAGATACTTCCGAAAGTTTAGGAAAAGTTTTCAAATTAATATTATTTTTCCATGAAAAACTTTTTGCGCCATTTTGTTTCAAAATTTTTCTTAAACTTTCGGAAATACCCCGGGCCAAAAATAGAAAATCTTCTGGATCATCGAGTGTGATGAATACGAAAAATCACTTTTCAGCAACTCTAAACCAACTTTATTTTTTTTGTTCCGGTGATATGTTATTAATAATAGGCAGAAAAAATATCGTACTTCTGTACCCAAAAAGTTATCTCTTACGATAATGAATAACGAAAGTAATACAGAAGCAACAGCCTCAAACCCAAGTAGAAAATGACAATAGAGACATACCTGCAAAACTCCGGAATTTAGAGGAAGATGCCGAAGAAATACTTGTATGATACCCATACTTGAATTCAGATAATAATGTTAATGGACATATATATTCTGATCTATTACTATTATTCTAGCCGTTACTCACTGCAGTGAGTATGCTCATTTGTGCTCAATTAGCATGCTCATTTTGCGCTTTCATTCTTCTTCCTATCATTTCCACTACCTAATGCATTAATTACTCTACAGTTTTCTTGTCCAATTTATACTTTTCTGAAAAATACAGTTTGATCAGTTAAACTTAAACTAAAGTACTACATTAAATCGTGAGACAGGATCCGATCTATCAAGATCTTCTTGAGTTAATGAACAAGCACGTCTTATCTCTAGCGTGTAGCTGCGAGAATGATAATCACACAATTTTCTAAATTGTGACTTAGTTGTTATTCGATATAATTCGTTGACTGGCTGCTACTAGAAATTCTGCAAAAAATGCCGCTTTGGGTTCAAAAATCACTTTTTGCTATTACTAATTAATGGAAAAAGTCATCACAATAAACGACAATCAATGCTTTAGAATTCAACTCGGTGGACAAAGTAGAAGATCTCCTCCTTCAAAAAGTGCCTCAGAATCGATGGATCATCTTAACAAAAAGTTATTGATACATTTTTGAGGTTTTAATCTACAACATCTTCAAATCATTATAAATAGGCCAGAATAGTTCAGAAGAGCAAAGATCTTAGATCTAAGAGATAGAAGAAAAAAAGATGACAGTGGTGAGATTTGAACTCACGCCTCCGAAGAGACTGGTGCCTAAAACCAGCGCCTTAGACCACTCGGCCACACTGCCTGCTGTCGACATAATCAATTTATTCTATCTTTGTTTGATATCCTAATTCGTACGACAATCAAATTTGCATAGACGAGCTTTTTGTCTCATGTAAGCTCGGCTGTACATTTCCAGTCTGCTGTCCTGCGCCCACCCACAGGTTTTTCGACTTTGTTCGTGCTGGTGGAAAAAAATCCATCTGTTGTCAAGGTAAAATCATGCTTTCTTATAATTCATTTCTCTTTACTTCTGACATTTTTCTACTGTTCTTTACTTTAAACATTATTCTCTCTACAGATAAAAAAGAAAACATTTTACAATCTAGTTTTCGCTACTATGAAAAGAAAAGTATATATATCTTTTGACTCTATTATTACTCGTGGGTCTCGAATTTCTACTCTAGCTACTCTCTAATGTGCTGTGCAGATTCCTAATTCAGAAGTTTATAAGATACAGTAGACTGGGGTATGTATAACCAGACACAAACTTTTTCTCAGTATTTTACGAATGGTTAATCCATTTTTAGTCCGAGAAAAATGGTGACTACACAGATAGATACATATGACTTTCAGCTATGCGCTGATGTAAAAATTGTCTGAAAAGTCATTACCGTTAATTAGTGCCATTCAATTTCCAGTGCGTTACTCTTAAATGGTTATAATGACCCCATTTGGGGGTAATTATAACCAGTCAACATACTCCGCTGGGATAATTATAACCATCACAGCAAAAACGGCTGGGACGATGTAAATTAACTTTGATCCAAC